AAGAATACTTGGCGAGTCACGCGAATAATCGATTTCATATCTTTTTTCGTAATAACTTCGTATAGCATACATTATACGAAGTTATACGAAGGAAGGAAGGAAGGAAGGAAGGAAGGAAGGAAGGAAGGAAGGAAGGAAGGAAGAAAGGAAGGAAGGAAGGAAGGAAGGAAAGAAGGAAAGAAAGAAAGAAGGAAGGGAGAAAAGATGTAACATAGCTAGACCATTGCTTTAGATTTCGAAATACTGTTCGCAGCGAGTACCTGGCTCGTTGTTTTCTTCCCCGCCATCTCTCATGTCCCGCTCCTGCAACTTGCAAGCCGGCTCGACTACCTTCACGAACTTTCACCTCTTTCTCTCTAGCCCTTCGTCTACCATTCTCTTGTCACTCTCTTTCTCTCTCTCTCTCTCTTTTTCTCTCTCTCCCCCTCTTTCCCTTTTCAACACCCCCTTCTTTTTACTGTTCAGCCATGTTTCTGCCGCGCAGGAAATTTAAGACCCTGTGCATTATCGTGTAATTTAGGATACGCGAAGGGGCTAAAGCGAGGCGGACGAGAACGGATAAATTATTTTATTTGTCGAGCACGGTGTCTTTGCTATATACGTGAGGGCGTATAAATCGTAAGGACTTATTACGATACAGTGACCCATCTAAAAGGTCAGAAGCGTTTCTCGGGGAACTAGATCGTAGATTACCTGCTCGGGTGGGGAGGGGAAGGGGCGGATAAAGGAAGGGCAGAGAGATGCGGCTGAAATGATGAGCACCGTGGCTATCGAGAAGCATTATGGATATTATCGAACCCATACCATAATCCCACGAAAGCCGAAGGATCCAATATGCGACCGCTTCATAGTGGTGCTCGCGCGCAACGTTTCATATTACGCTTCATTGTTGAATACAACGCTAAAATTTATTCCGTCGAAAAATTCGTGTCGCACAAGGCTGCACGCATAATTAAACGTATGAACGAAATCTAGAAAAATCGATTCAGTTTACAAATCGATCGACTTTACGTATACAGCAGTTTTATAACGAGTGTATAAAATATCATGTTTCATTGAGGGAAAATCAATTTTGAACAACCGTAAAAAAAATCCTTCATCGAAATTTGCACATTTATTAACTTCAGGATAACCAGCGCAGTTTCGATGGCGTCATTACTTTGTTTGCAACATGCGAGCTTTGACGGCGCCCGGCACCAAATAATTTCGCAACATCTCGAAGCGAGAGAGCAAGCTCGCGAGTGACCGCAACGCTAAACTGTTAACCAAAACACTTTATCCCATAGTTCGTTTCGATAACTGTGACATACGCTATTTCCCGCTTATCGCATAATAGCACGTAGATGAAGTATAGGAAAGCGCTTTTTCTCCCTCCTCTTCTCCCCCCCCCCTCTCTCTCTTTCTTTCTGTCTCATTCACTCACTCACTCAATTTCACTACATAAAAAACGCAGTACATTAAAAAGCTCGCACATGCCGCGTAAAGTATAGAGACGAAACACGATTCTCAATGCCTGTACGTACAAGTACGAGCGATACATCCGATCGGACATTCCGCAATCTATTATACGATCTCCTATCAAGGGCATAAACTATGCCACAGTATCGGTGTCGAATACGACACTGTTGTTTTGGTCCGCCTAATGTCCTGATCGTTTTACTAGCTACGTCTCTTTTTATTGTGCAGCGAGGGCAAAACAGAATCGTTTTATCGGCTGCAACGATAGCCCTGTCATCGCGTTACATGCAACCGGCGAATGATCGCGTGTCTCATGCGGTTAATCGAACTCGCGGCGACGCGCCCTTGAGCTTAATCGTATTAGCCACGTGTCGTCAGAGCGTACTAATTTTATGCGGTCAGCTCGCAGCGCGGAAGTGTGAAAGTCGCACGCTACTATCTGGCGGAACTTTTACTAACGAAACGACAAATACAATTTTACTCCGTGTTTAGGAATTGTAAGAATTTCAGACGAGCAATTAATCGTTTAATAATTTAACGTCGTTTGATTTCAAGTGCGCCA